CTAACCTTGTAGGCAAGGTCTCTTCCTCTTGTCAGTGGCTTTTCTTGACCTGCCTAGAAACTTGCGTCTTGGAATTAGAGGCAGCCGGGGGTGCCACAGTGTGCAGAGCACCAGGCCTGGAGTCGGGAAGACCCGAGTTCAAATCTAGTCTCAGACACTTCCTAGCTGTGTGACCCTGAGCAAGTCACTTATCCTCTGTCTCAGTTTCTTCAACTGTAAAGTGGGGGTAACAATAGCACCAATCTTCTAGGGTTGTCTTGGGGATCCATTGAGGTCATATTTGTAAAGTGTTTAGCGCAGTGCCTGGCACATAGTAGGTGCTATAGAAGTGCTCGTTCTGTTCTTTCCCAATTTAGGGCACTTGGTTCTCACTGTACTGCTCCCAGCCCACCCCCACCCCCACCCCCAAAGGAACTGAGGAGGCCTCCACACAGCAAAGTATCCTTTTCCTCCAGTTAGGTCAGAGTTTGAGTGAATTTTCCTGCTGTAGAGAGTAAGACTCTGGTCTGACTCAACAGGTCATTTTTCTCTTGTTTTTAGATCACCTACATTTCCCAAAGTATTCTCTCCCAGAGAACCATCTCTTATTTTTCCCCTCTGCCCCCAGCATGAACAATTTATTAATTAGGCTGAAAGTAACCAAGAAATTGGTGAGGGCCGACAGGGTCTTTTATAACAATTAGTAAGATGACAGAGCAAAAATTTTTTTTTTTTTTTTTAAGGCAGTTGGGGTTAAGTGACTTGCCCAGGGTCACACAGCTAGTAAATGTGTCAAGTGTTTGGTCTGAGGCCGGATTTGAACTCAGGTCCTCCTGACTTCAGGGCCGGTGCTCTATCCACTGCAACACCTAGCTGCCCCGACAGAGCAAAATCTTGAGCACCATAGATGAGTCTTCTTCTGATTGGCTGTCTGTGATGATCACAATTGAGGTTACATTATTTGGACCTCCCCTTCTGAAACCCCCTTAACCACAGCCAAGACATGTGATTTGAGTCACTAGACGAAGGTTCCCAGATTAAGGGTATGGTCCATAATAGCCTTGAATAATCGTGAATTTGAGTTAAGTGGGTGGTGGGTAAAGTTACCAAGGAACTTGAATTTGGGATAAGTGGGGAGCAGGTGAGGTTACAAACGTGGACAATACAAAGGTGGTTATAAGGCTTGGCTTTAGGCAAGTTTCTGGAATGTTGGGGAAGGATGAAGTTCTGACGGTAAGGAGTTTGGATTTACCAGATTGATTAAGCCTTCAAAATAGAATTCAAATCAATTTTCAATTTTATGACCCCCCTCCCCCCTTTGATTCTTGGGAAGCCGCGTCTCCTGTGAATCACTTAGTTTGATTAAAATGACAAATCAGAGTATGGTAACAAAAAAAAAAAAAAAAAAAAATTAGGTATGTCTGTCAATCCATAATGATTAGTAAAGTTGAGGCAATGGTGTTACAGGAGCAAAAAATGCTGAAGAAAAGGAAAAAAATTCATCTTTGCAAAGCTACTATGGATCTCTCGGAATTGGTTTTGAGATAACCCTGGTACTCTAAGTATAATGCAATAATTGATATAGAGCCAAAAGATAATAATGAGGCCTGTGGTCAGGAGGGTGTATTTAACTGAAGTAGCTAGTATGATTCCCCTTCCTAGCCAGGAAAATACCAAAGAAAACCAGGAAGAGGGGTCCCTGAAAGGGCATGTTGACCTTGTACATGTTTTGGGCCATGAGTATGCTACAGCCTTCCTTAAGGGGAGACTGCCATGATGGCCACAGAAACCATCAGGCCTAATCTTAGAACAATTCATCCCTTAGTCTTTGAGACAACCCATAACCAACGCATTGACAAACTCCTTCGGGGGCAGTCCCCTTCGGTAAGTAGGCCTTATAGAGACAGTTGACATATGGGGAAGAAATGAGAGGGAAGGGTGAGCATTTGGTCTCTTTCCTAGTAACCTGTTTCCAATGTCCATTTCATAAGCACGTTATATCTTAGGGCTCAGTGATGTCTCCTGCAGTCTTCTGGTTTCTGAAAACATCTGCTCTTGGGCATTTTGAAATGGGCCTGTTCTCAGAGCAGCTCTGAAGGGAAGGGCTTCTCTTAGAAGATCTGCTTCTCTGGTCCAGGTTACTTGTAGACAGTCTTAGATGTTTCTGCTAAAATCTACCAGTAACCAGACTCAATACAATTTAGTACAACCACTTAAATTTCACCTTTCCAGTAACTAGTTCATGTGGTGAAAACCACCCCAAATCTTATAAGAACCATCCCTTATTACAAAGAATAGAAAAAATGGGAAAGAAAAGTTCAGTGAAACTAGCACATAGAAATGTGTGCAGGATGTATAGTGCCCCACACTCATAGTCCTTTAGGGCCAGGCTTGGCCTTCCTAGTTTTGCAACATTCACTTTCCATCCTTTTGTTGTTTTTGTTGTTCTTTCCATTTCCGTTATGGTATCCTTGCTTGTATTGTTTTCTTGGCTTTGCTGCACTCTGCATCAGTTTGTAGAAGTCTTCTTATACTTTTCCACATTCATCATTTCTTATAGCACAATGATATTCCATTATGTCCTTGGACGACCATTTGTTCACCATTCCTCAGTTGGCAGGTATCAATTTTGTTTCCAGTTCTTTGCTACCACAGAAAGGGCTGCTTTCGGGTTTTCTTTTTTGTTTTTGTTTGTTTGTTTGGCTGGGCAGTGGGGTTAAGTGACTTGCCCACAGTCACACAGCTAATAAGTGTTATGTTTCTGAGGCCGGATTTGAACTCAGGTCCTCCTGAATCCAGGGCCGGTGTTCTATCCACTGCGCCACCTAGCTGCCCCTGCTTTCGGTTTTTTGATGTGCATGGGGACTTTTCTTGTTTTTATCACTGGCCTCCTTGGAATATTTGCCTAGCAGCATACCAGATTACTTTCCAGAAGGGTTGAGCCAATTCATAGTCAAGTCAATAAGCATTTCACAGTTCCCCCAACTTCACAGTAGTATACCTGTCTTAGTAGTAGTAGTAGTAGTAGTAGTAGTAGTAGTAGTTTTTGGTAGTACACTCCCAACATTGACCATTCCCATCTTTTGTCATCTTTGCCAGTTTTCAGGGTTTGAGGTTGTTTTAATTTGCATTTCTCATTATTGGTGATTTGCAACAACTTTTCATATATGTGGTTGGTAATAGTTTATGATTCTTTTGGATATTTAGTCCTTTAACCACTTTGCTCTTGGGGGATGGCTTTTGGCCTTATATATTTCTGTTAAGTGTATATATCTCAGATACCAAAACCTTATCCTAGATACTCAGTACAAAGATTTTCTTCCCGTTCGACTGCTTCTCTTGATGCGTTTTCATTTGTGCAAAAAGCCTTACAATTTCGTGTAATCAAAATGTTCTGTTTTGCGTTCTGTGATCACTTCTGTGCCTTGTTTGGTTAAGACAGGGCCGTGTGGCCCTTCGAAGCCAAACTGCACAGGACAAATCAGTCAAAGGGCCGCACTTGAGGACCTAGAGGGCCACATGTGGCCTCGAGGCTGCAGGTTCCCCACCCCAGGTTAAGAATTCACCTGTTGCCCATAGCTAGGAATGGTACCAACAGATCCTTTTTCAGTTACCACTTCATGAGCAAGGATCACACAATTGATTCTTGTACTGTGAGAAAGGGTTTCGAGTAATAGAAAGTACTGTGGGTTTCCTCTTTTTGTCTTGTAGGTCCGACATATTCTGTGTGAAAAGTATGGCAGAATCATGGAGGCCATGGAAAAACTGAAGTCTGGAGTGAGATTCAATGAAGTCGCTTCACAGTACAGTGAAGATAAAGCCCGGCAGGGGGTACCTCTCTCTTTCCAGCTAGCACTGTGCCTTAGCCCTAACCCTCAATTTTTTTCTCATTCCCCCGGCTCCAATATGCCAATGAACACATCATCTGGTGACATCTGGTGAAGGTCTCAGCCAAGAAGAGCCAGAACTAAGAAGTGGAAGTGAGCAGTGAGCACCTGAAGAAGTAGCTACCCTCTTTGGGTTGTGCCCACTGGAGGGGAAGGGGCTTTAAAGATGCCAGTCTCCTCTCTCCATTTCTTCATAGCTACTCTGGAGCTGTGTTTGAATTGTGGCCACTCTTGGGGTCCCACTGAACTGAAAGAGGAGACAGGCCCTTCTGTCTCTTCTGATGCTGATGTAGAGGGCCTTACTAAGGCTACAGGCCTTACTGCCACTTTCTTTTGTGACCCAGATCTTCTTTCCAGAGTCCTACTCTTGTCCATGCCTCCCACTACCTTGGATATCTCCAGCTGGAGCATCTCCCTTAAACACCTAATAAAAAGACCTGATTTTTCTGTAAAGCCCCTTTAGGGCTCACCAACAGACCCTGCCACCTAACTAAGTACAGAGAAGGCCACTAGGTAAATTGTTTGGCAGCCCATGAAACAGGATCTATGATCTTGTCAAAAATCTGGTCTCAGATTTTTCTTTGAGGAAGATAACAAACATACAGTACATGCCCTACTCTTCAACTTAATTGTGTATAATTGATTTCTTTTGTTTTTGTTTGTTTGTTTTTTCAGGGAGATTTGGGATGGATGACCAGAGGGTCTATGGTAGGCCCATTCCAAGAAGCAGCATTTGCTTTGCCTGTCAGTGGCCTAGACAAGCCTGTGTACACAGATCCTCCAGTGAAAACCAAATTTGGGTACCATATTATCATGGTTGAAGGGAGAAAATAAACTGTGATAAATGAGTTGATTTTTATGAGCTTCAGACATCTAATGATTTCTTTTCAAGGTGCTGAACAGCCCATGTATCAGTGCTTGGAATCAGAATGGTTAAGAAAGGTATTCTTCAAGGACAAATGTTCTTCTCTAATGCCTCATGGTTGTAGAGGCCACCAGGGAGTGCCACCGTACATATAGCACTAGGCTTGGAGTCTGGAAGCCCTAAGTTCAAATTCAGCCTCAGACACTCTAGCTGTATGAACCTGGGCAAGTCACTTAACCCTTGCATGCCTCAGTTTTCTCAACTGTCAAATGGGGATAATAACAGCACCTATCTCCCAGGGTTGTTGTGAGGACTAATGAAATAATAGTTATATACTATAATAACAAGCTATAGAAATGCTTGTTCCCTCGCCCCCCCCCCTCCATGGTGAGTGGAGCATGAGCTCTGCCTTGCAGATTCTCCTGGGCTGGGCAAGCTTCGGGGTAGGCCCTTGTGCCTAGGACATTATGCTGTCTGTTCCCGAGCCACGTTCCTTCTTTTTCCTGGTGTTTCCCCCACTCTTGTCTTGCTCTGTCTCTAGAACCTCTACTAGCTCTTTTATGTCCAGCAGCTTCCACCTCCCTGCTTGTGACCTTCACTGAAATGGCTAGTCAGCTGCGCTCCAGGAGCTGCTCCCAAAGAGCCCTCTGATCTGAGCTAGCAACCGTGCCCCCAAGCTGGACTAGCTGCTGTGCCCCCAGAACAGAAGGGAACAGCAGGAGTTGCCTCCATGTCAGACCATTGTGGTCACTTTCTTCCTGCTACAGCCCGAAGGCCATTAATCCCAAGGCCCTATGCTCCCTGTGGAGCTCTACTGTGAGGTAGTCACGCTGCTGCTCTTGTACCCTACTCTTGTCCGTGCCTCCCACTACCTTGGATATCTCCAGCTGGAGCATCTCCCTTAGACACCTAATAAAAAGACCTGATTTTTCTGTAAAGCCCCTTTAGGGCTCACCAACAGACCCTGCCACCTAACTAAGTACAGAGAAGGCCACTAGGTAAATTACTTGGCAGCCCGTGAAACAGGATCTATGATCTTGTCAATTCAGAAGATCCCTCTAATGATGCAGAAAATAATCCCTCTATCCTCTGCATCTCTTATTCATTCACGACTTACCATAAATTTGCTACAAAGATTCCACCCAATATGAGGCCTTCCTCGCTTTCTCCTAACATTGTAAGGTACCAGTGGTAGAGGACTCACTTTCTACCTGTTAAGTCAATCAGCATTGATTAAACACCCACTGTGTGCTAAGCACTGAGGACAAAAAGAAGCCAGTCCCTGCCCTCAAGGTGCCCCCAGTCTAATGGAGGAGTCGTCATGCAAACAACCATGTACTAATGAGCTACACAGGCTAAACTGGAGGTGATCAACAGGGAGAGGGCCTTAGCATTAAAGGGGCTGGGGAAAAGTTTGCAGAAGAGGGACCTGTAACAGATGGGAAGGAAGCCTCGAGGCAGAAGTAAGAGTTCCAGGCTTGGAGGATGGCCCATGGAAATTCTGCAGTTGGGATTCACTGGATCGCAGAGTGCATAGAAAGGTAGGAAGGGGCCAGGTTTCAGTACTTTGAATGACGATGAGATTTTACATTTAATCCTAGAAGTGATGGGGAGCTAATGGAATTTGTTAAATGGGGAGGGCGGCTTGACACCATCCAGTCTGTGCTTTAGGAAGATGACTTTGGAAGCTGCCAGGGTCTGGATGCATTGTTTGCACATGACACAGGCTGAATCATCTGTCGGTGCCTCTCAAGCGAATTCAGGCACGCTGCTTAACTGGTGGGCCTCCCTGCCCTCAAGTGGGTTTTAGTGAGACAAGCACCAGATTTGGGGTGGGAGGACCTTAGCTCCAGGCCCAGCTCTGCTACTTACCACCTGTGTGACCTTAGGCAAGTCGCTTTTATTTCAATTGCAAAATGAGGACACTGGACAAGATGATTTCTAGGGGCCTTTCTAGTTCTGGAACTTGCCATATAACGAGGGGTAGGAAGGTATAACAGGCAGTAGAATGGAACAATCCAGACAAAAGTTCTAGGGAAATGGGAGGAGGGAATGGTCTGGAAAGGCTTTGAATAGGAAGTGGCATCTGAGCTGGACCTTGGGAAAAAAAAAAGATTTCATTAGGCAGAGCTTCCTGCAAGGAAACAGAAGAAGGGACTGGACAAGTTGAGTTTGATTGTAGTCCACGAAGGTCGGTCATCAAGTAACGGTAAGTTGGGGCCAACTTGTGGAAGGCCCTACACATCAGGCTAAGGAGTTTATTGTGTAGGCACTAGGGAGCCATGGAAGGGTTTTGAGCTGGGGAGTGTCATGGTCTGATGCGAGCATTAGGCAGATTACCTTAGTGCTGGGTGAAAGATGACCTGGAAGGAGTGGGACACGTTCAGAAGTCATTCTAGTAATCTGGGCAAGAAGTGATGACTGTCAGTGGAGACGAGGGGACAGGTGTGAGAAAAGCAGTTCTACTCTAGCGAATTTTCCGATGCCATTCCCAGATAAATAGGCTCTGACACAATTTCGGTAGCAATAAGGTATCAGCTCGGCTCAGTCTTAGACAGAGGGTTAAGAGATGAACAGATTTGTTTCTGCCTAGGCTTCCCGGAGTCACTGCAGCAATGTTACAGCCTCAGGTCTTCTTTCCTCACTAAGAACCTTCCACTAAGGAAAGATTTAGAAAGTTGGACCTACTGCTAGGCCCAGAAGCCCTGTTTAGCTCCATCACATTCCCCCAAACCAGCAGACCTTCCGAGAAAGGCATAAATTCCTCAGCACAATGTAGTGGCCCTATCTCTCTTTTTCCCTGGTGTCTGAGAAACGTAGTGATGCTGCCATCTGTCACCACAGTACACAGAGGGCTGGGCCTGGAGTCAGGAAGACCTGTGTTCATATGCAGCCTCAGACACCACCTATCTGTGTGATCCTGGGCAAGTCACTTGACTCACTAATTGCCTGCCTCAGTTTCCCCAACTGTAATACTAGCACCTCCCTTGCAGAGTGTGGGAGCCCCAGTAAACTGGTACGTCTGTCCTCTGTGATTTCGTCCTAGACTACCTAGGGGAAAACTCCTTTCTCCTTTCTATTTATCCTCACTCTTTCATCCCCATCCACCTCAGCCACATCCTGCTTTCCCCTCCCCCACACTTCCTTTGTGTCTTCTGAAATGCTCATTCTGTTATTAACAAACTTCACTTTGTCTTTGCCATCTTCCCGAACTTAAAAGAAACCTCCCTCCGCCCCCAACCCTGCAACCCTGCAAGACACTCCATCTCCCGCCAGTACTCAACGTCCCTGAACATTTTGGGCCAGAAGGAAAAGTAGGCTGACTCCTTGTTGATCACTCCACTTCCAGAAGCTCCCTCTGCTGACTGACTATCCATATCCTAGTGAAGTCAGCCCTCATCAGCCCCTAAGCCATTCACCTTTTCCTTAAGGAAGTCACCGATGGCAAACATCTGCTCTTCTACCTCGGAAAGATTGCCAGCTCCTCAAATCCCGAGGCCTACCTAGTTCATAAAACCTCAGCTCTTAAGATCTTCACGCCCAGGGGCCATTCATACCTTAGATCTCCCCATGCCCTTCCTCCAGGATGTAGCCATTCTGACCACAACTTCTGTCATCCTCCAGGCACTTGCCCCCTTCCATCTCTCCCGCTCTATCACGCCTGCCTCATTTTTCTCCCTGTGCAACCTTGGCCCTATTCAACCCTTTGTTGTCCTCTACCCTTGAATCCCCAGCCGTGATGTTGCATCTCTTCACACACTCTAAGTTCCTGCCCAAATCATCCTCAGTCCCTGATCTCACCATCCCATCTCCCACCTCTGTACCTTTGCTCAGGCAGTCACTCCTGCCCGGGATGCTGTCCCTCCTCAAATGCTGCCTCCTGTAAGACATCTTTCCTAATGCCCCTAGTTTATTAGGGCTTGCTTACTCCTCAAATGAATATTGTACTTAATTATCTGTTTATATGTTGGCGTAGAATGTAAGTTCCTTGAAGACAGGGACTGTTTTTTGTTTTGGTTTTTTGTCTTTGTACCTTCAGGATCTAGTACCTGTCTTTGCATGTATTAGGAGCCAGGTGGCATAGTGGATAGGGCACTGGGCCTGGTGGCAGGAAGACCTGAGTTCAAATCTGGCCTCAGACACTTGTTAGTTGTGGGACTTAGATGTTAGAGACGGTGGGGGTCACTGTGGCACTCACTTCACCTCCGCCTCAGTTTCTTCCTCTGTAAAATGGGGATGATAGCACCTACCTCCCAGGACCGTTGTGAGGATCAAATGAGATAATTGTAAAGTGCTTACTTAGCACAGTGCCTGGCACACAGTAGGTGCTCTAGAATTGGTAAATCTTAGTAAGTGCTTGTCGAATCCAATCTAAATCGTAAACTCAAGGGCAGTATTTTCTTATTTTTAACCATCTCACCTGTCCACTTGCACAAAAATAGTAGTGTACTTTACATAGGTAGAGTGTAACTTTTTTCCAAGGGTGCTGACCAACCCTTCCTTATTTTCACAGCATCTGTGTGCGGCATTTTAAAGATGAAGAAGCTGGCAAAGAAGTCAGAGCTAGGCCTGGCAGTGCCATGAACACACTAGGCAGCCTCCTGCTCCCAGGCCAACGAGGTAAGGATTTGTTAAAAGGACCAATGAATGAACAGAAACGTCAGAAGGTGCTGTTGGCTACTACCCAAAACCCATTGTCTTTTTGAGGTCTTCCAAGGGACGAGTTCACTGCCTCCCAGCAGATTACTTTACCACATTCTCCCAGGTTGACCAAAGGCCAGGGAGGGGGAGAGGGAGTACGGAACCAGTGCTGCTCCTCCCCACGTGCAGACAGCAGCTGCCTCCACAGCTCTTGACATCTTGATGGGTGTTATTTGACCTGTGTAGGTTCTTGCCATCACAGCAGAGCAGAACCCCTTGGGAAAGAAGAGCCCTATTCCCAGTTCTACAAGGAGAGGGACAGAGGATCCCTGTATAGACGGGTTGAATTCCAAGACCTTTCAAAGTTGGAAGTGTAGGGTGTGTGTGTGTGTGTGTGTGTGTGTGTGTGTGTGTTTAATACCATTGCTCGTATATAAGTCATCTTTGGTAACACAGCCGATTTCAGACTGAAGAGTTGGAAGTGACCTTGGAGGTCATTTATGTAGTTCAAGATATGTAGAGAGTGAAAGCATTTCCTGAGCCCCTACTGTGTGCCAGGTCCTGGGGATACCAAGCCAAGCTAGTCAGTCCCTCCCTTCAAGCTTCTTACTTATCTATACCCTAATTCAGACACTGCGGAGGGGGCGGCATGGGCCACACATTCTGCTCTCTTCAGTTAGAGGCAGCATGTGGTAGAGTGGAGAGTGGAAGTCAGAGCTGTGGTTCTGAACTCTCTTGTTTTCACACTCAGACAGATTGCTTCATTGTTTGGAGCTTGTTTGCTTATCTGGCACATGGGAACAACAGTGATTTTGCTACTTACCTCACAGGGCTTGTGGGGAAAGGGAACACCACATTAAGTGTGAATTATTTCACCCATGCCTAGAATGTAGGTCTGGGCAACATAATAGCCACTCCTATAGGGACAGCTAGGTGGTGCTGCAGTAGATAGAGGGCTGGGCCTGAAGACTCCATCTTCCTGAGTTCAAATCTGCCCTCTGACACGTACTTGCTGTGTGACCCTGGCCAAGTCACTCCACCCTGTTGGCCTCAGTTTTCTCATCTATAAAACGAGCTGGAGAAGGAAACGGTAAATCACTGCAGTATCTTTGCCAAGAAAACCCCAAATGGGGTCATGGAGAATTAGACACAACTGAAAAACAACAATAGGCCCTAGAGTTGAAAGGGGTCTTAGAGGTCATCTTATCTAGCTCTCATTTTAGAGGCCACCGAGCCTCAGAGAAGTTATGTAATGTGCCCAAGGTCACAGACCCAGTAAACTGCAGAGCTGGGCTTCTTATCCAGGTTCTAATTCTATGTGTGTTGATTAAGTTGGGAGGCCAAAAAGCTGGCCCAAAAGTCACAAGGAGTGGGCTGGGGGAACAGAAAAGGACCATGGCAGGCCAAGCAATTTAGCTGCCTTCACATCTGACAAATGTTTTCTTAAACCTAGCGTTTCCTAACATCCCACCCCCAACAAACATCTTCCCTTGTAAAATTGAGATTGCACCCATTCCTCACTCTCACTGAAAGTGTTTCTTCAGCTGTTCCCTGGGCCCCAAGACTGGTCACTTGGCAAGGAAAAGGCCTTTTACAGGCTGCAAATGATGGCGCCAGCAAAATGTACTGAGGGGTTAGTGGTCCAAGCAATCTCCCCAGCCTGGACAAAGGCCAAGAACCCGAGATGCAGGCCAAGTCAACGGTGTTCTGGCTACCATCCTTCAGGCCCCTAGTCATTCTCCCTTTTAACTCCCATCATGCTACAGAAACACAAGTTTCTGTACCAGATACTTTCATTTAAAAGTAACTGTCAGCTGTCACCAGCCCAGTCGTATTTGTAACTCATATAGGGCCATCCAATCAGCAGACATTAAAGTAAAGCAGTCTCAGCAACTCCCCAAACCTGTGCGCCTGCTGACTTCAATAAGCAATTACACTTTTTTCAAAGGCTACCTCTCTATGGGAGCAATGGCTGGTAACTGAAGATTGTTTTGAGGGGGCAAAGTTGGAGTTGAGGGAAAGAACGTAGAAGTCAAGACGGCTTTGAGTGTGATCTGAGGATATCTCCCTCCTCCTGAGAGAACAGGGACAAACAAGTATCCTGACATACAGTTCTACATTCATATTCCAAATCGACATGTATATGGTGGACGCTCTAAATATCAGGGACATATACTTGTAAATAAGTTCAAAAATCTTCTTTTAAGTATTCTGTTCTATGCAAGAAATATACATAGGCCTTTTGCAGAAATGTTTCCAGGAAACTGACGCAACGATTGAGCCCAGGGATGACTGACTACCTTAGAATATTAATTCCAATTACTATATGCAAATGAAAGTGCTCACTCTTAGCCACAGTCTAGAGCCAGTAGGCGAGGGAAGAACAACATGGAAAAATGCCTCTTCCTAAGAGGAGCACAAGGAGTGGGGTGGTAGAGTGGGCAGAGTGCCAGACTCAGGAGTCAAGACAACCCAGATTTGAATCCTACCTCAGATGCTTAACTAGCTGCAGTGAACCCAGGTTGACAAGTCACTGACCCTCACTCAGCCTGTTGAATTCAACTGAGGTTCCCTCCAACTTTGATCCTGAGAGTGGCTCTTCTGGATGTGAGGAGTGAGCTAGGTGTCAAGCTGAATGATTTTGCTGAGTGAAGGGGAACAATCGTATCTTCTAAGATTCACTTCCCCCAGCCACCTCCTTTGTATGGGGGCAGAGGACTGTGAAGGCTTTGTGATCAAAGCCTTTCTGTGAGCAGAATAGGCTGCAGTAGGTAGAAGAGACGAACCCTGGAATGGCCCCATGTCCAAGGAGATGTGTTCTGGGAAAGAAGAGGCTGGGGTCTGAACAAGTGCAGAAAGTGCTGATCTCAAGACAACCCCAAGGCATAAAATTCCTAACGAGAGCTACTGTTTATACGAGGTCTTAGTCCAGTTTTAAGCTTGAGATTGTTAGGTTTACCAGAAGTAAACAGCGCTCTACATGTCAGTTCCTTTCGTCCTCAGGATAAACTGAACAAATCAAAAATGAGTGAAGCAATAGCAGTGGCCAGTCCCATTTAGAATTACAGCCTTTGATGCCGCTGAGAAGCTGCTTTCATATGCACTTACCAACAGCATCAATTTCAAAGAGAACATAACATTTAATTTGAATTAAATTCACTTTAATTTTTCCAACTAGAGTACAAATCCCCGAGGAGGTTTTTCAGAACAGAGTCAATTGGCTTGTAAACTTAAAAGAACCTTTTAAAAAACAATATTGTCCCATATGGACTGTCCCAGCAGCAAAACAGACAAGAACAAAAGTCAGCAAAAAATCTCAATCCCCCAGCCCAGTCTTGATGGGAGTAATAAATGTTCACTAAAAAATAAAGGGGGGGGGGGAACATAAACGTGTTTGTCATCCTAAACATGCTAGAAGCTATCCTTTATTCAAAGCAATCATCTTAAATTAGGAGAAACTGAATTAGAAAAGTAAGCATAGATAACCCTTCAGGGGATTGTAAAGCACAGCAAACAAACCATGTTCTCAAGTTTGATTAAGTTGCTTATATAAACTTAAAGTCAGGAGCATGACTTCAGGATCCGTACTTTTTATATCGAGGGCTTTAAGAAGACAGTTGAGTGCTTCCTGTATTTTCCCGCTCTCTTTCAGTTCCTTTCCACACCTGACAAGAGCCTCATACTCATCTGTCATGGGAGCTGAACTGGGGTTGTGTGCAGTGGTCTCTTGTGAATCTTGACCAGATGCACTCTGCGCTAAGTCTGAGCAAGACACAGACAAAGAGCAGGGCTCGCTTGGGGTCAGTGAAGTTTCTTCTGCAGGTTCCTCTTCTGAGTGTTCAGACTCTTGAGTATACTCTGCTGCCGCTGCTTCTAAATGCTTGTCGGTACCCTTTTGCCCACTGGCATCTTCTTCCATATCTTCAACATGGTCTAAAATCACATTAATAAGTGATCTCCGTGAAGCCAGGGATCTTCTAGAAATTGCAGAACTATTTCCACCACTCCCTATTTCAAATAAAAACAATTCAGATTGGGATCTGTTGCTTTTGGGAGTTGAGCTAAATTGTGTCAGTACTGGGTTTGGGAAAGGGGGTAACATTCCTTCTGTCACAAAATCATCTTCATCATCTGAAACAATCCTCCTCATCGTGTATCTCGTTTTCACAGGAGCTATTTCGTTCTCCAGTTCGCTTTCTTGACCAAGCTGTGGATCCTCAAAGCTGCTCTGCCCCCTAGGATTAGGTACTAAATCCCACATGCTGTTCTCCCTTTCCATGGGCTCCAAAGACTGCTTGGAAAGGTTCTGTCCACTCTCTAGAGAATCTTCCAAGAAAAGATTGAAATCATCAGCATCTTGCAGTGAAGAAGCTAAGGATTCTTTTCCTAACTTGTCCTCGTTTGGTCCAGAATTCTCCATTGCACTTGGGTCTGCTGACAAATCCCCTACTACGCTAATGAGAGAAGTACCCAATTCCATAGACTTCTCTGGACTTATAAGCAAGATGGAAGATTCCAGCAAAATCTCTGAATTTGTTAGTTGATCTGGATTTGGTTCAAGATCAGCTTTTGCTGTTTCATGAGCTAACTGCTTTATACTTTCCTGAGTGTTATCTGGTAAAACTTGACTATCATCAGGATTATTGGTCTTTGATATTTCCATTTCCTGGCACTCTTCATTGGAAAAAGTAGTTATAAATTCATCATCAATTTTGTGTTCTGATAAACGAAGATCAGATTGTTTTACAGACACATCTACATTCATGGCAGAGAGATAGTATGCCTCACTGTCTTCAACAATACTTAAATTTGCCATTCCAGAATGGACAGACTCTTCTTGTGTAAGATCAACAATTATAGGCGGTGAAGGATGACGTGCAACATTCAGTTCAGAGTATTTTTTCTTTGGTTTGGAAGATGCAGGTTCTTTCAGCCAGGTTTCCTCAACTCCAGCTCTTGCATTGGTCAGTAAGAGCTCGTTATTCTGAGACTCTAATTCGACTAGGAGTTGAGCCTTTTGAACCCTTTCTTGAACATACTGAGATTCCCCTACCTCAGACTCTTCGTGAACAGACACATCACGTGTGAACATCAAATCGTGGTCAGAGATTCCTGCTATTCCCAAAGTGTGTAGGTAAGCAATATGTTCCTCCAATTTCTTATCGGTCTTTCTGTGACCAGCATGCAAAGAATGCAGTTGCAACTGTGTTGCAGAACTCCGAAAGTCCCCTATCGTAAAGAGCTCTCGTAATTCTTGCTTGCTAAAATATCGAATGGGGTTTTTTTGATCCCCGGTTGTTTGTCTTATTAACGAGTCCTTGAAAACCTGTCTTCTATATATTTTCTCCTCCACTGTCCCACAGGTGATCAGCCTATAAACCACAACATTTTCTTTTTGCCCGATTCTGTAAACTCGATCTACAGCTTGTGCATCAGTTGCAGGATTCCAGCTAGGATCAAAAATGACCACTCTAGTTGCTGCAGTTAAAGTGAGACCTACTCCACCTACTTGGGAAGTAAGGAGAAAAACAGAGACACCCTGATTCCGTTGAAATAAGTCAATTCGCCTCTGTCTTTCTGAAAGAGGAGTAACAGTTCCATCAATACGCAAAGTCTCGAAATTCTCTTTCTTTAAAAGGTGCTCTATGATGTCTAGAAGTTTTGTGGACTGGGAAAACACCAGAGTCTGATGTCCTTCATCTTGTAATCTCTTAAGCAATGCCATAAGGAATATCACTTTCCCCGATTCTTGCATTAGGGATTCATGAGGCACTTGATCAATCTGGATATCTGAATGAGCGACTTCACTTTCATCTCCACCAGAGAAGTTGCCTTCTTTGAAACCTAACAAACTGCAGGCCCGCGCTGACAGTAACCTCGGGTGATCACACAGCTTCTTTAAGACAGTCAGCTCAGCCAAAGGTGAACGTGTTTCCACTAACAACTGTTTGATGTGGTTTAGGGATACAAATTTCCTATATATTTCTTCTTGCAAAGGTACTAAATATACCCAAATAATTAACTCATTTTTCCTGGAAAGGGAAGGGATTTCACAGACAATGTCACCACCTGGATTCTTTTCTGGAAGATTGCTTTGGGGTTTATTGGCACTTCTCTTCTGTACATCTTCTTTAGTCCTCCTGAGAAAATATGGTTTTATAAGTGTCATTAAGTTTTCAGATATTTTCAACCCCAGGGCCTTCTCTCCTAAAGTAGCATCTTTCTCCCTGGCCCTAGTAATAGGATTTTCATATTCCATTTTAAAGGTTTTAGATGTTCCTAGCAAGGATCCCTGACAAGCAAAATCAAAGAGGGACCACAGCTCGTACAAGTTATTCTGAATTGGGGTTCCTGTCAGGAGGATGCGATTTTTCACAGGGATAGCCCGGGCAGCAATTGATGACTTAGTAGAAGAGCTTTTAATTTTATGGGCTTCGTCAAGTATGAGATAGTCCCAGACAAACTCGTTTCCATCCAATTGGGAAAGTTGCTGCCAATTGTTAATCAACATTTGGTACGTTGTAACAGCTACCCCATTCTTCCTCTGAATCCTGTGTAGATTTCTGGTACGTTCCTTCTTGCTAGAACCGTGAAAGGTGGCAATTCTCATTCCTGGGGTCCACTTAGCAAATTCTTTGATCCACGTGCTGATAAGGCTGGTAGGCATGATCAGCAGGACACACCTCACAAGTTCAGCATCAAACATAGCAGAAAGGAAAGCAATAATCTGAATAGTCTTCCCCAATCCCATATCATCTGCCAATATGCCACCTTTCCTTCTGTCTTTATACAGGCTATAGAGAAAAGCCACACCTTCTTTCTGGTGCTCAAAAAGTCGATCGTGTAGTTCTCGATACAGCATCAGACCACTGTTGCACACTTCAACAAATTCATCATCTCCTTCCACTGACAGCTCTTCCAGGGCTTCCTGTAGTATCTGGATTCGGCTCAGAACCTTGTCACTGGGAAAAATATCTTTTGCTAAACAGAAAAGTTTAAGGGCTTCTTCTAGATTTCCTTTCTTGGTTGCTTCTTTTGCTTCTTTTACATATCTATAAATGTAAAAAAGAAAGGCACTTGCTATATGCTGGGCATTGGAGGTATAAAGACAAAAATGAAACCATCCCCTCAAAGAGCTTATAGTTCAGTGAAGGGAAGGACTAGCAGGGGTAGGATATGTGTGTGTGTGTGTGTGTGTGTGTGTGTGACAGAGAGAGAGAGACAGAGTGTGTGTGTGTGTGTGTGTGTGTGTGTGTGTGTGTGTGTGCGCGCGCAAGAGAGAGAATCAGGAGAGGCCTGGTGGAGGAAAGATCAAGAAGGTCTTCCCATAGGAGTTGGTACCAGAATTGAGTTTTCAAGGAAATTAGGTATTCTAAGAGGCAAACATGAGGAAGGAATGCATGGGGGACAAATAGGCTGTGCAAAGGCAGGGATGAGAGAGGGGATGGATTATAGAATGTGTGAAAGGGAATAATGTATAAGACTTAAAAAGTAGATTGGAGCTAGGTTGTGAAGGGGTTTCAGTGATCAACAGAAGAGTTAACAGTTAATCCTACAAGAAATAAGGTGCTTGGGCAGCTAGGTGGGGCAGTAGATAAAGCACCAGCCCTAGAGTCAGGAGGACCTGAGTTCAAATCCGGCCTCAGACACATAACACTCACTAGCTGTGTGACTCTGGGCAAGTCACTTAACCCCAGTTGCCCTCACCAAAATAAATAAATTTAAAAAAAAGAAAAGAAAAGAAATAGGGTGCCACTGGAGGTTACTGAGCAGGGGGATATCATGTTGGCAGCTATGTGGAAGATAGATTGGAAAGGGGAGAGAGTGGAGTCATGGAGACTAATTAGGAGGTGGTTGCAACAGTCTAGGAAAGAAGTGATGAGGATGGAAGGAAAAGAAGAGGATAGATGTAGGAAAGGCTGTGGAAGTAGAATGAACAAGACTTAGCAACTGATAAATGTGGGATTACTGAGAACAGAGGAGTCGAGATCTGGAAGGTTGTGAACTTGAGTGACTCGACAGAAACAGAGGAAAGACCGGGAGTTTGAAACGTCCAGGAGATAGTTAGCAAGTCAGTGTTTGGCCTAGGGGCAAAGCAGTCCTGATTTTGTTATAAGCTACAGTTCATTTTGTAATACAAACTGGCCTTCTAATATCCTAAATTCAGAACGAAAGAGACCAGCACAAAAGATGCCAATGAAAGATGATTCCACAAAGCAAAGAGCTGGAAACACTCAAAGGGCCGTACCAGCAATAGCTGCTTCAGGCACCAATGGTGGGAAACAAACACATGATGGTTACTGGTTCCACATTCTAAGAAAATGCCTCAAACCTGCTACCTAGAGCAGGAGCCCAAGCCTGAATACTGATGTGGAACCCAGAAGTTTCCTTCAAAGCTCCACCCTAATCGAGCCAGTTAACTTTTTTGAGCATCAGTTTCCTCATCAGTAAAATGGGGCTGATAAGACCCCCTGCCTCTCAGGGTCATTGTAAGAGTCCAAAAGCTATGAAAAGGAGTAGCATCTCACCGCGTTAGCCCAGAGTAAGCAAGTCACCTCTGTAATAGAGAGGTCATGTCAACAAACACTAAGTCCTTACCGTGTGCCAGGTGCTGGGGATATAGTGAGGGGCTGTCAGACAAGGGAAGACAGCACATAAAAGAGGTGGGGAGGGCTGAAGGCACATACCCACCAGGGTATGGTGGTGCAGTTCAGAGAACCAAGGATGGCTAGTCTGGGCCCTTCCTCAAAATGGAATCTTCAGGAGGAACTCACCAATGGCACTCACTAGAGGCAATTAGTGGCAGAGTGGACAGAGCACTAGTCCTAGAGTTCGGAAGACCTGAATTCAAATGTGGCCTCAGAAGTTTTCTAGCAGTGTGACCCTCGGCAAGTCATTTTACCTCTGTCTTGGTTTTCTCCTGTGCAAAATGGGGGGGCAGATAATATTAGAACCTACCTCTCAGGGCTGGGAGGACCAAATAAAATTACATTTGTAAAAATGCTTGGCACAGGGCCTGCCACATGGTAGATAACCTAATAAATACTTATTCTTTCCCCCTAATAAGAGAAGGCAACTAAAGCACGGGGGCAAAGTCCAGAAAATGAACCATGACTGGTCCAGGCCCTTCCTCAAAGTGGAGGTGGGGGAGCCAAGCCAGTGCAGTTCAGTTCTTGCCCCAAATCCATCGGGCATCCCTGCCCAGCCTTCGAGAGGAAGACAATGCTTGAGGGAGGGATAGCACCAAGGCTGAGCCATGTGCAGTGGCCCCCAAAGTGCTAAGGAGCCCTGCTTCTAGGCCTGGGAAAATACAAAGTTTGGAGAAGACAGGCTGTAAAATCCCTTTCTGGAGTGTAAGGGCTAGTAAAGGGCTAAGACATGCATAGAAATGACTATAACCTACATTACTACATTATAACTGCATCAGAAAGGCACACAGTGCCACTTACGGTCTGACAAAGAAAAGGTGATTGGGGGGGGGGGGATCAGAATTTTCTTGGCTCTATTCCCTCCTCCCCTAAAATTGGACGGCTGTCTCTCTACTCCTCATAGATCCTTTTGGGGAAAAGCCTGTATTCTAGGAAAAGAAAGGAGTTATCAAGAAGGCAGGACAAAGCACTTAGCCATTGCCAGTATCCCAACCTGGAACACCACCGCTTCTCCCTCTTTCTGTGAGGTGCCTGCAGCCAGATTCTAAAAGCCGAACACAGAGCCAAGCGAGACCTGGCTTGGGGCACTCTGGGTACCTGGTTACCTGAGTGGGGGTCTCTGGGTGTTTGTTTTCTCCTAACACCTCCTGGGTGAGAATATAGTACAATGGGTTAAGCTGCAAAGTGGTGAAGATTTTCAGGAAGGCCCAGCAGCCATCGAGACTTGAACAGTCATAATACTGTTTCACAAGGCAAAACATGACTTCACCAACACTGAGTCCTCCCTTGTTCCCTCAAGTATGCCAGTGTCAAAGGTCTTGGGGCCCTGACAAGGTGGAAAAAAGCCCAAGAAATATCTTGAAGTTCAACATGTCCAAAAGCAAACTCACTGTCTTTCTCCCAACTTCCATATTACTGTAGAGGGAACCGCCAGGCTCACAATGTAGGTATCAGCCTCAACTCCTCATTCTCTCACCCCACCCCATGCAATCTGTTGCCAAAGTCTCTCAATTTTACCTTTGCAACATCTCTTGAACACTCCCCTTTTCTCCTCTGCCTCTGCCCCCACCCTGGTGCAGGCCCTCATCACCTCACATCTGGACTGACAGCAATAGCTGCTGGGGGGGCTGCCTACCTCCAGGTTTTCCCCACTCCAGGCTATCCTCCATTCAGTCACCAAAGTGATTTTCCTAAAACGGAAGGTCCAACAATGTCACTCCCCTACTCACTCAACTCCAGTGGCTCCCTATCGCCTCCAGGAGCAAATACAAGATGCTGTGTTTGGCATTCAAAGCCCTTCATGCCCTGCCCCCTCCTCCCTTTCCAATCTGCTGACACCTCACTCCCCTACTACCTGCTCTTTCATCCAGTGACACTGGCTGCCTGCTGTGCCTTGAACAAGACGCTCATCTCCCGACTCTGGGCATTTTCCCACACTTCCTCTTCTCTACCTCCAAGCTTCCTTCAAGCACAGGATGCCTTGCCAGATTCCCCCGGAACCTTCCTGGATTTGCTCATTTCCAATAGATCTCCTCTAGTGGCCCCTTTGTGCATAATTGTTTTTGTTCCTTGAGGACAGAGATAGTCTTTTCTTTTTATCCCCAGGGCAGACTTAGCACTGGACCAGGCACATACAAGGTGCTTAATAAATATTCATTGACCAATTGAAAAGAGGAGACAGCTGGTGGCTCAATGGAGCAAGTGCTGGGCCCTGGAATCACAAAGACTTGAGTTCAAATCCTGTGTGACCCTGGACAAGTCACTTAACCTCTGCCTTAATCCACCTGAGAAGGAAAGGTCAAACTATTCCAGTATCTTTACCAGTATCCTGCCATGGCCTACGGTCCCTGGGTCTGTGAGGTCAAAAAAAGTCAGACATGACTGAATACAACTGAAAAGCCATTCTTTTAAAGTAGTGGAGAGAAACAGAACCTAAACATGATGAGTATGTGTGAATTATTTTTAAAGGTCAGATTAAAATGCTTTCTAAGAAACCAAGAAAACTGTGTATATTTCTGATTTATTAAAATGCAGAGCTATAACAGAACAGAGACTTAAAACGTTACAAGGAAATTCACTGACATGCTTTCATCGTGTTCAGTTATTTTTCAGTTGTGTCTAACTCTCCATGACCCCATTTGGGGTTTTCTTAGCAAAGATACCGGAATGGTTTGCCATTTCCTTCTCCAGCTAATTTTACAGATGAGGAAACTGAGGCAACTGCCTAGGGTCACACTGCTAGTGTCTGAGGTCCGATTTGAACTCAGGAAAATGAGTCTTCCTGACTCCAGGCCTGGCACTCCATCCACTGCAGTGCCCCCCCTAGCTGCCCTTGGCTTTCATTGTACACATAAGAAAATAAAGAGAATTGAAGGAAAGCACTGGTTATCTGTGGGTGGTGGGAAAATCAAGAAAATCTTCCCAGAGGAGGTAGTGCCAGAGATGAGCTTTGAAGGAGGGCAAGGATTCGAAGAGGCCGAGGTGAGGAGGGAAGGCGTTCCTGGCGTGGGAGAGATAGCATGTGAAAAGACATAGACAGGAGACTGGACACAGAACTGAATTTGGGGAATAGTTGGTGGGTCGATCTGGGTGGACACTGTGTGAAGAGGAATAAGGGAGAGGTTGGAAGCCGGGGTGGGGAAGGCATGAAATGCTAGGCTGGAAGGGCCATTTTGTGGTAGAGGCAAGAAGCCACTGAAGATTTCTGAGCAGAGGAGTAACATAGCCAGACCTGTGCAGGATGGATTGGAAAGGGGGAAGAGATGAACTTCCTACCTAGTACCCCTGCCACTACCGTCTAGTCAAGAGGAGATGAGGGTCTTTAGTGGCCCAATAAGTGAAGAGAATGGGATGGATCGAAGAGAGCCTGAGCATAGAACTGACAAGACTTGGAAACAGGATTAAAGAAGGTGGCTCAAGGTCACACCCCCCACCCCATCCAGCCCATGCATATAATCCTACATACAGCCATTATCCAAGTTCCGGTTCTTATCGCCTCAGGTAGGGACTATCTAAAGTGGCCTCCTTCAAGTAATGATAGCTATTGTAATAATAATAGACTATTATAACTACCCAAATTAACTTCAGAGGACCTTTGAAGGAAGAAGCTATCTGCATCCAGAGAAACAACAGATAAACAAAAGTGCGTATAGAATGATTTTACATACACACACATCTGTGTCTAATGGTAGCCATGGGGGGGTTGGAAAAAAAGGGAAAAGAGTTAACATGATAGCTTTATTATATGTTCAAAAGGAATATCAAGTTGTACATAATAGATTTGCATTTCAAGTGCAGTCATCTTTTTTTATTCCGTGTTGTAGAAATGCCTGTTTTATATCATAAATTAAAAATAAATAAAATTTAGAAAAAATAATAGCTAACATCTATATCACACTTCCTAGGTGCCAGGTGCTCTGCTAAATGCTTCACAATCATCTCCTCTGGCCCCCACAAGACCCCCGGGAGGCAGGGTTATCCCCCTTTTACAGCTGAGGAAAGTGAGGCAGACAGAGGTTAAATGACTTGACCAGGGTCACATGGATTTGAACTCTGATCTCGGTTCTACGGTGATTTTGCAGTTTAGTATTTTACTTCCCCGACCTTGGCACATCCAGCCGTTTCCCTCCGCCCCGCCCCTGGTAACAAGGAGTCGCGAGACCAGGCCTGGGGGGTGTGGCCCGGGGGCTTGACTCGGCTAGCATGGGCAGGGAGACGTGTCCCAAGGGAGCAGGGGCGGGGTGAGGGCGCACGAATCAACACGCAGCAAGCCGGTTTTCTTCCTCTCGCCTTAAGGCTAGAGTTCGGTCGGGCCCAGGACAGCTTGGAAGGCCGGACACGCGCTACTTCCGCTCTCCTCCGCCCAGCGGCCCCCGGAAGCCTCCCAGGCAGCCCCAGCAAGCAGTGCGCACGCGCTCTTCTCTCGCCGCCGCACCCCCCCCCCCCCCCCCTCCCCACCCCCCTCCTCCCCCCGCCCCCCCCCCCCCCCCCCCCCCCCCTTTTGAGATTCAGTCAGTCGGCGGGCGCTCAGGGGGCTCAGGGGGCTGGCAGCGGCGGCAGCCTCACCACCCACCTCCGATAACTGGCTACTTGTCCCGGGCTCAGTAGCGGCTCCGTCGCACTCCCTGTGGCCGGGGCCGCCGACTCCGCCCTCGCCGCCTCGGCGTCAGCCTCGGTCCCGACGTCTAGCTCGGCCTCGGTCCCGACGTCTAGCTC